TTCACATGCGGGCTGAAAGGAAGAAAGCCAGGGATGCAGAGTACCAGGCTCACATGAGAAATGGTACCTGGGAATTAACCACTTTACCGAAGGGAGAACGATGCATCTCGAGTGGCTGGGTTGAAACTGATAAGCGAGCTCAGAATGGCATCATCGTAAGGAGGAAGGCAAGATTCATTGCAAAGGGCTACAGTCAAGAGTATGGATATGATTATCTCCATTCTTATGCACCGGTTGCATCGATGACAACTATTCGTTTGATATTAGCTTTGACGTGCATTCTGGACTTGGAGGTGGATAACATGGATGTTGAAACAGCTTACCTTCAATCAGACCTTGAGGAAAAGGTGTATGTTAAGCAGCCACTTGGATATGAGCAAAATGGACCGAATGGAGAGGAGCTAGTTTGTCGATTACGTAAGTCGCTGTACGGGCTTAAACAATCTGGACGTAATTGGCACAAGAAGATTGATGGATGGTTCCGAGGATATGGTTTCCACCCTTCTTCTGCGGATCCATGCTTATATGTAAAGTTTGAATCTAGTGGTGAAATGTTAGTTATCGTCTTATATGTGCATGATTTAATTATCGCTAGTAACTCCAGGGAAATGGTAAATGATTTCAAGCTAGCTATTTCAAAGGAATTTAGCATGAGGGACTTGAAGGAACTTGATTGGATACTAATGCTAATAAACAAGCACATGCCACTGTGGATAACCCAATATCCAATTGATTCTTCAGTACGACCACTATTCTCCCTGAGAATGTAGACCAACGATTCACCCAAGAATCTCGCACTAAGATAACCAATACGACCGACAACCAAAGACAACCAATGACACTGGTCGACGCCAGTCCTGTTGTCGTACGATAATACAAATGATTAGGTGGACGCAAAGTATGACATGATACAGTAGCGATCAGCACATCGCGATACCGACTGTTGGATCCATCCAGGATAGAGGTGCAACACTGTAAGATGGCTCGCTTAACCTCCTATCGCTGAACTCATGCTCCCTTAGCATCATCATGTCATCCTTATATTCGCGTCACCCCCACTCGTACTCCTAATCATTATGTGTGATCCAAAGCAGTTAATCCTATAACTCGCATACTTAAGATAAGAACCATATTACTCATCTCTAATATATCTACAGCTGATCCCACAGCTGCCTCCAAATCCCAATTAAGACTTATAACCCATCATTCGATTACGTATCATTGCTAATCGAATATTAGATAAGGGTTTTGTTAAAATATCCGCAAGTTGATGCTGAGTAGGAATGTATACCAGTTCCACTTCCTTACTCTCAACCTTTTCGCGCACAAAGTGATATCGAACATCAATGTGCTTCGTCCTCTTATACGTAATCGGATTATTCCCCATCGCAATGCAAGCTTGATTATCCTCCATAATCACGGTAGGTTCATCTTGCTTGAATCCAAGGTCCATAAGTAGTTGACGAATATAAACTGCACTTTGTGTCGCTGAACAAGCAGATATCAACTCCGATTCAGCCGACGATAGAGCCACCACATCTTGTTGCTTGGCTTTCCAATCAATCGTGTTGACATCATCTCCATGACTCAACGTAAAAGTATAACCAGACGTCGAACGTCTGTTATCCTTATCACCAGCATAATCTGCGTCCGCGAATCCTACCAGGGTAAACGATCCCGTAGAATTACCTGTGTATTTGAGTCCAACCTCACTAGTACCCTTCAGGTATCTCAATACACGCTTTGCAGCGATCCAATGTTCTTCATTTGGTCCTTGCAAGTGTTTCCCAACCGACTGTACCGCAAATGCAATGTCTGGACGTGTTACCAGTGCTGCATACAATAAGCTACCCACTAGCTTCATGTATTCACTATCTGGCTTGATTTCCTTGTCATTCGTTTTCGTCAGTGTTGCTTCCATCGGTGTTAATACTGGTCTGCAATCAGCCATTCCAAATTTATTACCATATCAATATAAGCCGTTTGAGAGATTTCCATAACTCTCTTTTCTCGATCACGTTTGATTGCCATACCAAGTATCCAATCGAGCTCCTTCAAATCTTTCATGCTAAATTCCTTTGAAATAGCTAGCTTGAAATCATTTACCATTTCCCTGGAGTTACTAGTGATAATTAAATCGTCCACATATAAGACGATAACCAATATTTCACCACTAGATCCAAACTTCACATATAAGCATGGATCCGCAGAAGAAGAATGGAGACCAAATCCTCGGAACCATCCATCAATCTTCTTGTGCCAATTACGTCCAGATTGTTTAAGTCCGTATAGCGACTTACGCAATCGACAAACTAGCTCCTCTCCATTCGATCCATATTGCTCATATCCAATTGGCTGTTTAACATATACCTTTTCCTCAAGGTCTGATTGAAGGTAAGCTGTTTCAACATCCATGTTATCCAGCTCAAGATCCAATATGCATGCGATTGCCAATATCAAACGAATCGTGGTTATCGATGCAACAGGTGCATAAGTGTGGAGGTAGTCATAGCCAAATTCTTGACTATAACCTTTGGCGATAAATCTTGCCTTTCTCCTCACAATAACACCATTCATATCTCGCTTATCAGTTTCCACCCAGCCACTTGAGATACATCGTTCTCCCTTCGGTAAAGGGGTTAATTCCCATTT